CCGCTGACCCACAGCCATTTATCTGTCAGGTTAAAATCCTGACACAATATGTTTCTGCTTATCCTGGTGTTCACAGAGTATAAAATCTGAACAGGATAACAGGCCTGAGTGGAATTTCTCTGCTCCTACATCACCTTCCTGTCCACACCACACCAGTTGACTTTATGAAGCGTCCAACTGGAGCCTGGACTCTTTTTATTTCCCCCTCATGCCAAGAGTTTCCCCCACTTTGATATTGGCTCTGATAAGCTGCTGTAACTCAGGAGTGGAGCTGGAGGCCAAACATCTCCATCACTCCTGGTGTTTATTCGTCCTCAGGAACCTCACCCAGCACCGAGGCTTTGAGGAGCTCGCCTTAGAAAACTGACTTTGACAGTGGTGTTAGTGTTTTACATCTGTGTCCCTGGTGAGTCGGACCTTTAACATATGAAAATGTTCAGAACAGAAGACGTGACTGTAAATGTGAGGCCTATTTGATGACTTCATTGTCTGGTCTCTGGGCTGCAGTGATGAGTCCACACTGGTCTGACCTGTGGATCCTGGTAAATCATGGGGGCGAGCTTCTCGTAGCTGTCTATGTAGAGCCTGACGGTTGCCCCGGCGCTGCCTGTCCCGCTGAGACGGAAAATGATCCTCGAGCCATCAGAGAAGATGATTCTCAGGCCCTGCGAGTGAGGGAGGTGGAGGAGAGAGGATGATGGATGAAAATGTACAGGAACAGGAAAACATGTGGAGACTTAATGCAGGAGGTGAAATAAATCACACTACTGTGTTGTCATAGACACATCATTACAGAGACTTCATTTTGTTAGTCTGTTTATTCTATTATGATTCTGTCAGATCCATTTTATAGTGCCATACTGTGATGCATTCTAATCTTTACTGGGTTGGCTGGTCCTGTAGCTTATATGAAGAAACCACTTGTAAATCAAAAATATAAGCCATATGATTTACGACCACAAGAGGGCATCATCTTCACTCACGATAACTGCTATTGTACTACTTTGTATTAAGGTAAGGCTAAAATAAGCGTATTACCTGGTTTTTGGACACACTGCCGTCCACGGGGTCTGTATAGGCAAAGTTGTCAGCGATATCCACCTCGTATGTCTTATCGCCGGATGAAAACTTCTTCCCTTTAAAGGAAGGATCCATCATGGCCGCCTCCAGATCCTTCATCATCTTGTTGGCAGCGTCCGAGTCGACCTCCTCGTAGTCGTACCTTCAGAAATGACGGTGAAATAAGGTTCATGTCAGGATTGTGACGGATGTAAACATGTTACCTCCCCCTTGGAGACTTGGAGCTAATGCTGCAAAACTCACTGAATTGAAATTCAATATGTTCTTCTTTTGTGCCACAATCTTCTTCATATGACTGAAGATGAACAGTGCAGGGACCGCAGAGATAAGGAGAGAAGCCTTTCACAAGCAAAGTTAAAGTTTGTCTCCATCTAGTGGCCTCAACTGAGAATTTAATACAGTGCATCGTAGGACAGGTACACATTTAAATCAATTTCAACCACAGGACAAACTTTGTACCAATGTTTGACGGGCCCATGTGGAAAAGCCAGTAGGCCATACGCAGGCTATAGTTTGCCTACGTCTGGTTTAATCTAAAAAATTATCCAATCTGGATTATTTTTTTAAGTTCTTTGCTGTCTGGCTTTAGGCCTAAAAACATTACCAGATATTACACACTGATCTTTGCTGACCTGGTAAAGAAGTTCCTGCCAAAACTTTGCCAGTGATCCTTCATGATGTCCTCTACGCTCTGTTTCCTGCCGGCCAAGATTGACAACCAGGCAAGCACCGCCCACAGGCCGTCCTTCTCACGGATGTGGTCAGAGCCTGTTGGTATGAAACAAGCAGGAGAAAAGTCAGCAGGTAAATGAAAAAGGACGCAAAACAACGTCCAGCGTTTCTTACGCACCGGTACCGAAGCTCTCCTCTCCACAAAGTGAGAGTTTTCCAGCGTCCATCAGATTCCCAAAGAACTTCCAGCCAGTTGGAGTTTCATAAAGTTCCATTGCACGTTTTTTTGCCACACTGGTAAAAGGAATAAACCATGTTTAAAATCTACATGGACTAGAGTTTAGAGTTTTTAACCCAAAAGATTAAAACATTGAGACTTGTTGCTGTTAAATATAGCATAGTATTTACTGTACCTGTCCAGAGCTCCACTGGTGGGCATACTGCGGGCCAGACCTTTGATACCACTCTTGTTGAAATAAGGGATCTTTGCAAAATTGGCAGCAATGACAGCGACGGAGTCTGAAGGGTTCACGAAAAAGCCATGTTTACCTAATACCATGTTGCGGTCCTGTTGAAGGTGGGAAACCAGAGAAACAGATGGAGTTGAATATATAAAATGGAAGACACACATTACACTTTGTCAGTCATTTACTGTATGTACAGTAAATAAAATGGGATTTTACAAAAAAAAAATCCCCTTTGTTTGACTTACACCATCACCATCGAAAGCTGCTCCAAAGTCATATTCTCCTCCTTTCATGGTGTTGACCAGGTCAGCAGCGTAGGTCAGATTGGGGTCAGGGTGGTGACCTCCAAAATCCTCTTTGGGGACACAGTTCACGGCGGAGTTGGCAGGAGATCCCAGTTCCTCACAGATTATTTTCTTAACGTAAGGACCCACCACTAGAGGGAGACAGAGATTCGTCAAAACCAGTGCTTCTCGGTATACAGTATTGAGGTAAGAATCACTGTATTTTCTTATAAACTCTTTTATACCTCCATGCATAGCGTCCAAACGGACATTAATGTGATTGGCTCCTGACAGAAGTTCCTTCAGTGCAGCAAAGTCAAAGATGCCTCTCAGCATCTCAGCGTAGGCCTCCACGGAGTCAACAATCTCCACTGAGACAAAACAAAAGAAACAACTGAATATTATTTATTGAATCAATTATATTATTACTGTAATAAATTAATAACACAGTATTATATTATATAATTAGTTGACTTTTGTCATCATCATTTGTAACATAACTCCACCTGTGAAAGGCTTGAAAGTGTCCACCTCAAAGGTCTGCTTCCCAATTTTGGACAGATCCACCTTCAGGTCTGGACAGATGTGATACTCCTGCAGGCCTTTGCTGATGTCAAAGATTTTGTTTGTGATGCCCTCTGGAGCAGGACCTGGGGACAGAGGTGGAGGTTTGTTTACTGGCCACGACCTTGGAGCAAACGTAGACAATGTGTGTAATAAGACTGGAAGCATGAACAACAATCCGAATGACAGCGTTTCTAAAGACTTTAATCATTTTTAATTATGTCAATTATATGTTACGATAACGTGGAAAGTTATGACTCTATTCTCATGAATTTATGATTTATCCAGAATGACAGCGTTTCTAAAGACTTTAATAATTTTTAAATATGTCAATTATATGTTACGATAACTTGGAAAGTTATGACTCCATTCTCATGAATTTATGATTTATCCGCGTAAACCTTGAACCCTTTTCTCATGGTTTACAAACAAGTTTAATAAAATACTGACTAACCAGCATATGGCTTAACTCTACTATGGTAAAGGTGCAACTTTTCACCATAAACTTGTGAATTTATAATCATAAATATACAAAAAATTAATCATACGTTTATCACTCAATTATCACAAACTTACGACTGCCACTCACCTCCACTGGAAATGTTGTACTTGATGCCAAAGTCTCCGTTGGGACCACCGGGGTTGTGGCTGGCTGTGAGGATGATGCCACCTACTGCCTTCAGTTTGCGGATCACACAGGACACGGCCGGGGTGGACATGATGCCATTCTGACCAATCACCAGATGGTTAATCTTCAGGAAAGACATAAGTATTAGTTAATTTACAGTAAAATAGAGAGATAGGACAGATCAATACTTGTGTCCTAACAACACTTCATCACTCAGGTACCTGAAGAGTTGTTAAACTGATGATTGGTGGGAGTAGGGATTAGGTGGAGGTTTGATAAAGTGATGGACAGCATCACCATAGTGAGCAGGAGGCAGCTCAAACTAAGCTAAGTGTGTGGGGAGGGTACCATCCTTAGAGGCACCTTGGTGGCTTATAGACAAAAGATTGGAATATTTTTGTGACATCATTAGACATTATTTACTTAGTCATCATATGTCATACGTTTTTTTACGACAACTTTACCTTGATGGGCCAAACTAATAAAAGAGGGAGAGGACCTGCTGTTGCCGACAACAAAAGGACAGATAATGACATTTAATGACCACAATTTTCTTCTTTTGATCATGAAACAAAGAGAACGTCTTTGGTATGTGGACAAACAAGACAGACTTCATTAAACCAATCATACAACAATTGAAGCTTTAAATACACAACAGCTCTGGTTTATAACCACTAATGTTTTGCCAATGTAGACGCCATTTTTTCTACACAGACATATGCAGAGCCACGTGATTGGCTGTTTGTAGCCCGTCACACCCCCTGTATGTGAAAACATACAGAACCTTGTGGTCCCACTGGAGTGAAGGCAGTCAGGGGCCTCTCACTGCAGTTCATATGAAACAAAACCTCAGATTTATCAACTCACTCTTTAAAAAAATATGAAAATGCTAATGTTGAATGACGTGGTCTTGGCAGCATCATGGGATATATTTTAGTTCTTCCATGGCCACAGCCTGAATGTCAGAGGTAATTTGTTCAGTGCTGGATGTGTAAGTGAGCTACTTCATGCTCTTAATGTGAAAGGTCAGAAGAGTTTGAGCCGGCGCTCTAGTGGACGTTTTGATAAAGGCAATAGCCTGTCGCTAGAACATGATCAGGATGGTTTCACAAAACAGACTCTACTGAGTTGGATATAGAAACACAGCAGGGTCATATGTGCTGCACGTGTTGAACCTCTGGGATGACTCACAAGATTTGTGCAACATTTGTGCATTATCATTGGTTAGCTCATTCATTTTGAAAAGAGCATCGTTTGACTTGAGAGAGTGGGCGGGTAGCATTGTCCTAACCTAGCCTTGTAAAATACAACAACACATAATGCTTTTTTAAACAGCTGGTTTATATTGTACAGTTAGAGGAGTTTTGACATTTAGCACAACTTTGTCAGAGGTGTGCAGCTCAACACGACAGTAAAGCTCTGTACCTCATTTACCAGCCAAGAGTATGCCTGTTGTTCAGCATATAAGCGACTTAAACGTCATATTGTTTTATTTTGTCACGCTCCTTGGGACACTAACATGAGAACATAAGACTGGAAACCTCGGATTTAGAGCACCACCTGCAGGGGAAAGGGGGGCGCTACAACCTCTTTTTGTATGTACTGTATATACACAAAAATCTAAAATATATACAAGCACACTGTTTTAACCAACTCCTTTAACTTTGTATTTGTATTTAGCTAAGCTAACACGATAGCATTGATATATGCTACACAACACAAGCTATACAACAACTGCTGACGTGTTGTCATTGACAGTTAGTCAATTATAAAGTGTGTGCACAGAATTTAACGGTGGTGTTACAGGTTAACTTACAAGCAGCTCATTCACTGTATGTGTGTGTGTGTGTGTGTGTAAGGGAGAGAGGGATAGAGAGAGAGAGAGCTTGTAGCTAACTGTGCTAGCAAAAGGTGAACACAGTATGCGTGGGTGTTTGTGTTTATTCTTCCACTGACCCCGTTGGCAGCAGCGATCTGGACGATGAGCTGAATGGCGTCCTTCATGAAGAACCTGCCGTCTCCCCCCACCACCAAAGTGGACGTTTGCCGCTCCGCTGGGTCGATGACGGAGATAGTGCTCTGGATGAAGTTTTCCGCATAGTGCTGGTTCTGCTGGAACACCGTCACCCGCTTCCTCAGACCACTAGTACCGGGCTTCTGGTCCGCGTACGGCCTGGTTTTCACTGTGATAATTTTCACCATTTTTGACCCCAGAGCATCGACCACCGACCCCTGTACTGTATGACCCGCTGCTGCAGACTCCGGTCTGACGGACGAAGAGGCGACTGCAGTGGCCGGGAGAGTGAGGCTGGATCCGCACGTAGACACGGACACCGCCCCCCTCCTCCTGCTCTGTTTAAAGGGCAAGGGGACGCGGCGTGCAACAACTTGTACTTCAAAACTTAAGCATACTGTTAGTACACAAGTACTGCAACGGATCCAGGAGATACACGCGTTTTAACTATTCTTATTTTCAGGTTAAGATGCTGATTATGATATTTTTTCCTCCGTTGTACATTAAATTTGTTTTAATATAACAAATGCGAAAAAAAAGCTCCTTTATTATCGTAAACAATAACAAAAAATATTTTTATATTTTGTAACCTCCAGTAGGTGGCGCTCACGCTGCCCTCTGTTCTGAAACTTGAGGCCTGACCACAGACTGTAAATTGCATGATAAGATGTTGATTTGTAACACAGAGAACTAATTGCCCTAATCAGTAAATGGGACTTATAATGAACACTGTTGGATGAGTGGCAATAAAAACATGATTGACAGCTATATTGATTAATGGGAGCATTGGCATTTGGTGCAGAGTAATATTTAAAAACACCAGGCTACTATTAAAAAAATAGAAATCATAGGAGAATAACTTTTCACAACAACTGTTGTTGTTCTGAAGAGTTAAGGACATGAAGTCATTTTATTTATGCCACCCTGCATTAACTTTTATCACCCAATTTCCTCTAAATGGGATTGCATTCTTAAACAATTATAGTTGTTTAAAGTCCTTGATTCTTAACTTCCTTGTCAGTATTCCAATGAGAGAAATAACAGTATCACGCTTCAACAGACCTTTGAGCCTTAAAGGTCAAAGACACACGGGGCAGACAGGTCAGTGACTCACAGGGCTGTGTTCTCCCTGTACCCAAGTACAAACAGCAAATGTTTGAAATAATTAACTCCCCTAAATATAAATGAAATAGCTCCCACTGACTAAATACTGAAGAGGGTAAATTTTACCAATCTGTTTGAACAAAGGAATGGATTTGACACAGGAAATGTTGTGAAATAAGTCCAAGCCTGTGCTGTTTGCAGGTTGCAACACAGTGTGTTTGATAACCACAAGCAGAACAAAGTTTACGTCAGAACCTGCGATCGTGACACTGTGTTGTGCATGATATCTTAGCTAATATTTACCAATGTAGAAAGTCTGTCTGTGGACATAAATTTTCCTTATCAGCAGCCTGAAGAAACAAAACAATGACAATCTACTCTAGTTTTTAATCCTTCGCACACATCTCATCTCCAATCATCTTCAACTGCTTAATTACTGATTGTTATTATTATGTAAACTGTAAATTTAATTAATTTTAACACTGTAAATTCAATACTTGCTTTGCTTTCCTTGCTCTAATATGCAGACGATGCACATGTCGTCATTAACACTCACTTCAGGAAAGAGTTTTTTCCAATATCAACATGCAACACATTCATCTACCTGCTGTTATTTATCATTCGGTTTCAGTCATTCTTTCCAAATATATCAAATTTTTGGAAATATTTAGGACTACTTTTTTCAAATAATCATGATTGTGATTAATAACAACCATGATTAATCATGATTAATTGAGATACATTCACAGCTAACCCAGGAACTATCTGAATAATATTTTACTAAATCTTACTAAAATTAGGCTGAGTGTCAGTAGGTAGTGCTAGGTCACTAATGTGGCTCCGTGTCTCCATGTCTGTAGGAACACCAACAGTCTGTGTCATTCCATACTTATACTGTACATACAGTACAGTATCATTTACTTCAATTTTACATTCAAGTGCTGCAGAGTGATGTCAAATGCTCAAACTGGCTCCTAAAGCCCAGATTCCCATTTAAACGTTACTGAACCAGACTCTTAGGAAGGAAACGCTGAGAGCAGCTAAGGACATGAAATACTCTGTCCTGCCATGTGACCTTTAGTTTACCAGCTCTACTGTTTCAGCAGAAAAAGTCAAAGGGCAAATAATGACCAGGGAGATATAAATAGAAGGTAAAGACTGTCCACGGCTGAAAAGGCCAAGGGCAAATAAAGTTTGGTCTCCAGTTTGATGCAAAGGAATGCAGTGACCCAGCCAGCTCAGAATCCTGACAGCTCCATACTGTGGTTAGAGTATGGACGGCATTTACCGTCAGCTTAATTTGGAAGTAAAAGTATTTGAATATGTAAAAGTAACATGTTATAAGGATAGATTCCATGTTTGAAGGTCTGAAAATTGTGTTATAATTTGTGTCTAACTATTGGATTTTTTTGACACAAAAGCAGAAGTGCTGCAGAAAATCAAATTGAAATGATCTTATAATTATTCACTGATTGATTTGATCCTTCTCAACTTCAGCTGAATTATTTATTATTTAATCAATTTAAACCTTTGGTTGAACCAATGCCAGTGGATAACAGAGTCATTTCAGAGTTATTTCCATACAAATAAGTCATGCATTCAAGTGGTAACCATATGTGTATTCTACATTCATTATTACAACTCTGTTCTTACAGGACTACTGGAATAAAATATTTATTTACATCCACTTGAGTAAAGGGAATAAACCTAAATAAAGGACCAAAGCTTCATATTTAAGTTGTAATTTAAGAGTGACTTTAACCCATTTGATTTTGTAACATATCATTTTTCAGTCACAGAACAGTAACAGAATGAATGCAATTAGAGAGAAATCACTAATAATGAGAAAATTATTATATCAAGTTTGTAATCAATTGTTCTCACCTGGAAAAGCTGAAATAATGAGAAAATAAAACGTCCTGACTTAAAAAAAACAACCAAAACATTATATATATTTTTAAGGCATCATTTTTTAAGGACATGTCACCATGTCAGAAAAATGTAAACATAAAATTATTAAAATGCATGTTTTTATTACAACAACAGGCTTTCCAGTATAAAATAATTACACTGCCATGTTAACCTTCAACCCCATTTGGAATCTTTGCTCACCACTTCTCTGTAATAGCTCACAGGTGAGCTCTTTTGTTTCAGAGAGGTTCATGTCAGGTGTACGTCAGTATGGTCTCCACACAGTTGTAGGTCCAGTCCTGCTTCTCATTAATAGGCAGGACATGTTGGCACACCTAGAAGACAGGAAGTACAGGTTTGTATAAACCTCCTCAGGTCATGATGTTTACTCAATGTCGGTTCGAAATGTTTAGTCATTTATAATTGTCAATGTCGGTTCGAAATGTTCAGTCATTTATATTGATAATCGAACATGTTTAAAAAACTGGTGTCAAGCAGGCAAACCATCCTACCATCTTGGTTCTGGATGGAACCTCAACTGCAAACACACTCAAGCCTCTGCTGCTGCTGCAGTTCCTGCTCTGCTCATTGTTGATGTGCACAGTCACTTTCTGGTTGGTCTGAAACACAGAGTCAAAGTTATTTTTAACTTAATTGTTAACTGAACAATCACACAAGATCCAGAGGAATATATATTTGAATAACTAAACAAACTGCACCAGGTACGGTGAATGTACTCTGGTACTGTTCTAGTGTTCTATCACCAGTTCATTCTTGTTGAGCAGCTCCTGTTGCTATGTGTGTGTGGTCACCGCTGCTGCATGTCAAGTACAAATGTGCAGAAAGGCCTGTAGCAACCACAGCGTGCAGCAGTGAACTGGTGTAATTCACATCGTAAGATCCACTGAGTCAATTCTCTAGGTTGCTATATATATATAAAACACACACTCTGATGCAGTAGTATCACAATAGGATACATTGTTGAGGCCTTTACTATGCAAAGAAAATCACATACATGTGTCAAAGAAAATTATTTAACCACACGGTGGTAGAGTGGTTAGCACTCTTGCCTTACAACAACCCCTGTGGAAACTGGAGTTTGCTGTTCTCACTGAGTGTGGGTGTGAAAGATGGTATGGCAGTAAAGAATTAATTTTCTTTTTGTGTTTCACCATATATTTTTTTATATTTTTACCCTATTGTGTACAGTTGTTTTAATTCCATTAATGTTAATGAAATTATATGCTAAAATCTATAATTATTCTACACCACAAATTGTCAATGGCCAACATCACTATCTACTGTACCTGCAGCCACTTAGCCCCCTCTACAGGCAGCTTTGATGTAGTGCAGTATATTTAAATTATCTGAGCCCTTTGCTTTCGAATGATTCTGTATACATTTGTCTCCTACCTCTGTGTCCAATCATTTTTCTTCCTACAGACTCTGTGACACTACCTTATTGGCTATAAGTGAAGAGATCCTGTGCTCCCCTCTGTACGTGTAGACCAGAACATTTTCTTGTCCCCTCAGAGCTTTGGCCCCTGTCCTGCTGGTGATGGATTTCTGAAGAGCCTGGATTAGAAGCTTGGGTCCTGAATCCATACTGAGGGACTGGAGCGACGGCTGTGGGCCTTCAGCGTGAACGTCAATCTGGAACGGACAAGCCTGATGGACAGGAAGACGGTGTTCATGAAGTCGAAACATGGATCAAGAACAAGTTCCAGCATATTGTATTTGAGCACAAGAACTAAACGCAGAATTACATCTACTAGTTCCAGCATGCGGTTGTAGCCCATGGCCTCTAGGGTGAGCCACAGATCTGCAGGGTCTCCGTCTTTCTCTGTGGCCTCCATCAGGTTGAGCTCCATGAAGCCCTGTCTGGTCAGCTGGTTCTTTCTCATATCAAAGTTTTCTGCCCAAAAACACAAGGTTGTTGAGATTCTCTTCTCTGTTGTCTGTGTTCTTTGTTCACCAGTGACTTATTTCCTCTTATTATATCTATATTATATAATTATTATTATTTTCGTGGTTGTCAGAATTACCTTTACAGACAGCCCAAGCATCTTTGTCACACTTCTCTCCACTGGTCCTCAGTTCAAAGAAGTTGTACTCCTCCAGACTGAGCAAACCATTTCCATCAAGGTCTATGATTTCAAATATATCTGTCAGCGCCTCCCTGTGGCACAAAGGTGAGCAAGGCCGAGAATTTTAGGACAGATCCATGTAAATTTGTTTTTTCTTCTATCAATCAAATTTAATAACAAATACTCCATATACGGGGAAAACAAAATTTCTCCTTTCTTTTTTTATTTCTATTGTCCGGCTTAATGTTTTGCTTTTCGCACAGAATTTTTGGTTTCATTTGACTATGCAGGTATGTGGCTACAACTCTGCTACATTTCTTCTACCTTTCTACATATACAATAAATGTTCCTATTTTTATTTTACACATTTTTGGCAGATAAAATTGAAGGAAATTATGTTATCCACAGTATAGTAAATTAATAAAAGAACAAATGATGTAATGTAGTGTAATGTAATGTCATGTTATGATGGATGAGGTGAGTATATAAAATCACCTCAGCTCTCTGGTCAGGTCTAGTTCTCCAGTATCTGTTCTGTAGACAAGGTCCACTGGTTTGTTAGGGAGAGACTTTTTGCTCCTCTTTTTAAATCTGCAGCCACTGGTGAAGGGAAGCAGGTAGTAGGTTCCTGCGCTCAGTTCTCCTCTCCAAACGTACTTCTGCAGACAAATTTATAAAAACACAAGATATTTTTAATAGGAAATAATGAATGAAGACTTCAACTCACATGATAACCACAGTTTTGATGTAAATGAAACTCTCAAAACAAACCTCCTTTTCTTTTGCCTCAGTGAAATGCACAGTCGATGTGTCTTCTTTGCCTTCACCAGCCGGCACGATGAACAGAGCCGTGTCCACGGTCATCCAGGGAGAACTCTTTTCTAAAATCATTGGACTGTTTTTGCAATTTTCATGCAAGTGTGGTATGAAACTTTAAACCTATGGTTTCAAAGGGCCTTTAAATTACCAGAACGGTGACTGAGGCTGAGGGGCTGAATGGTTACGTAGACGTCGGTGGTCTCAGGAACATGGAGCTGGTACTGCAGGGAGCTGATGCTGCCGTCGTCCTCCAAGAAGAAGCAGCCCTTCATGCACGTGTGGTGCCAATCCTGCAGCAAAATGTAATTCTTCTGTTAAATAAAGTAATAATACATTCATTTCTGTAATGGTTAAATATATGGGAAGTTTATTTATAAAGAGCCAAAAATTGATCGTAATTTATTAAAAAGCTATTTTTTATTTCAACAGCTCAACGGAAGTTTATTTATAAAGAGCCAAAAATGTATCGTAATTTATTAAAACGCTATTTTTCACACTTTTCTTTTGAGGCCTGTGAGTCTTGTAAGAGTGAAAACTACAAAGATGGAATAACATGGAAGTATTTCAAAAGAAAAACCATACCCTTGGTCTTGGTCTTAACTGTGTTTTTTTTATCACTCTATCTCCTGAGGACCAGGCTTCTACTGATGTACTGTGTCTATGCCTCAAAATAACAGTTGCTATAATCGTACAGACACAGTCACATTTGTTTTCTATTTTAAGTGATTTTAAATGATCATGTGTGCCATACAAATGGTAGTAATCAGGCATTAAACCACTATTTTTGTTTGTAGTGCACTAAAAATATTATTAATATTTGGTGATGTGTAGTCTCCGGTCACGTCCCAGCTCAATCCAAATAGTTTGTGCCGCCTGTCAACAGAATGCATCTTTTCATTTAGCAGAAACCAAAACTAATTTGCTGTTGCTATTAAAAACAGGATGAATTGAAGATATTTTTGCAGGAAAAAAAGCCAACTGAGAAATCAATCTGAACAGTGAATTTGCCCACTTGATTAAAAGAAAGTGTCATTGCAATAATTGCGACTCCAACCTTCAGGGGGCATCATCATTTCACAGTCTGTGTGAGTTAAACAGGGTGTAAACACATGTTGTGGCAGTGCATAACCAGAAGAGGGCAGTAGTGCTACACAGTGTTTCCACTGCAGGCTGAAGCTAATCTTCTTGCACTACACCTATTGTTTTGGAATCCATTAAACTTGAAGAATACGGACATTTTCTTCAAGCCGCAGTCCATCAAATCTATCTAGAGGCCAGTTTGGCTTTTACTCATGAATCCTAATATTTCTCTCGCCGAGAAATTCTGTTGTTGAAATAAGATAAATAATTTGAACTAAATTGAACAGGAGCGTAAAACCCGAGTCGAGTTTTCCCGCCGCTCATCGGAGACGCATTAAAAGAAAAACACAGAGGAATTTGGAGGCCAAGCAAGTGCAGAATGGCCTCCATATTTCCTTTTAGTGAACAAATAAATCAGTGAGTTAAACAAAGGAAAAAGTGCCATAAAACTGGAGCGTGTCACTCTCGTGCAGAAAGTCATTTTCTCAAAGTATTTGTCTTGGGCTGAGAGACGCATTAAAAGATCAAATCATAACACTTCCGTGGTTTGTCCAGACAATATTAAATGAGGAAAAGTGCCGTGGGCAGCTGTCGGCTGCTTAAAGACGGGAGAATTGATGTGTCCACAGTGAGAGGGTCAGACTGCAGACTAATACAGCCGCTGTCACCTGCTCTGACCACAGGCCTGAGTTACTGCCATGCAGAGGGTCACTCTCCCTCTCTCTCTTTCTCTCTCTCTCACACACACACACACACTTCCACCACTACACAAACACACCATCCACCTCCTCCCAATTATCAGCCTCTGGCAGTACAGAGGCCAATATGGTGGAGCAGCAGCAGCTCCCTCAGATGTAATCTCAGCCCTGAGCACAGTCCGCGACACCTGGCCCTTTCCAATCTCAACATGTTGTTGGACCTGAGAGATTGAGCAGGAGGCTGTTATTTTTATTTTTATGTTTTGATTTTTATTTATTTACTTTGTTGTCCCCTGCTGTAAAGCGAACCTGGTGCAGTTAAGCCAAAAAGAGTCAAAACAAAAAGAGAGGAATCAATAAAGTGTATCTAGTTCATCTATTGACCCGACTGGCCTGAATTTGACCATCAAACACAGTGGGTGGCAGAGATGCTGGGAGACTCTGCAGGGTGAGACCTGGTTGTTATCACGAGGTCTCACACATAGACTGTCCTAGTGATCACTGAAGACCGTGGAAAAGTCTGGAAATGCGCAGCTCGATTTAGAAGTAACTCTTGATGCCAAGTTAAAAGTCTCCAATGTTTGTTTTCGACTTCATCAGCAGAACAGGATGCAGACTCTAACAGACAAACTACTACTGCAAAACAACAACAAAATACTGCTCTGGCATTTAATACCTTTTATCATGTCAAGAATCCAACTTAAAAAATCACAGGTATTTTTGACTGGTCTGATATTTTTTTTATTTTGCTTGTGCCCCTGTGTATATAAATTTTAAATATTAAAAACATTTCTTTCTGCTGCCTATTGCATCACAATGGCTGTAAAAACAAACAAACGCATTGCAAAGTGCATTGCAGTGCAGTCTGACCTGTAGGCCGATTGGTTCTGGTGATTTGTTGGTTTTAGAGCTGGCTGACGTCCCCGCGTTGGACAGAGACGAGCGTCTGCTGCGGGACAATGAGGGACGAGAAGACGATCGGCTGTCTGCAATTAGCAGAGAATAGACACAGAAAGAGTTATTTTCAAAGGAAAATGTTGCTAAAAAACTGATTTATAAGACACAATCGTCTCTTATCTGAGCTGTAAACACACAGAGATGAGAAGCAGGACATTAGTTTTGGCCCAAATCAGTTTTCTCACGTGTCCATTCCTGAGTTCAAGTGTAGATGCCCACATTGAATTGAGGTTTTAGAAAAACGAAAAGAAATGTGAGGTTAAGTTCAGGCCTTCTTTAATTAATTATGGAGACATATTAAATCACAAATGGCATAACAGAAGACTCTGAAATCCATTATCTCTCACAACTTTTTATCTTGAACACTAATTGAAGCCCAAGAATATCAATTCACTAATGAGGGCTCTGATTGTTTCCGAGGCGCAGGAATCAAGATGCACGGTAATGTGATGGGCCTAAAAGCAAATTACCGCAGAGGAAAATAAATAGACCTGCTATCATGTTATTTGTCATGGATCCATTCTTTATTGATGAGAGTGTTTTAATCTACGAGATCAAATTGTAGCTGTTTTGAGAATACAGAATTACAGATCTTAAAATAAATCAATTTTTTCGTTTATGGAAAGGAAGTTTAAAATAATTCGAGGCAACAATGTAGTCGTATGTTTCTTGTTGTATTTTAAGAATAATAACTACATGTCATTTAAATTTTATTGATATTAACACACATACGGTGCTTGCTTCAATTTTCCATTGAACTTTTAATTGAAACACTAATTCCTGTACGGTGCTTGCTTCAATTTTCCATTGAGCTTTTAATTGAAACACACTAATTCCTGAAAAACTACTGTTTTCATTTCCTTTCATGAAGAAAATAGAAATCAGTTGGTTTCAGCACGGTGGCTCAAATACACTAAAGTTGGAATAAAATAGTAGAAAATAGACAAAAATAATTTACCAAAGAGCGACATAAACATATGAACTGCTAACTTTAATGAACCTATTGCATGGCCCGGAGTATCGTGCACAGCTCCACTGTATTTGTCAGGGAAATGCTTGTGTTTACTGACAAATGTGAGCGCAAATGAACAGTCAAAACTGTTGTTGAGCTCCAAGAATAACGCAATTCAACATGTGTGAGCACGTAGCTCCTGGTGTCAGAGCCTTGTTAAAATGTAAGAGGTATAAATCAATACCTGGGAGAGTGTGCCATAATGTGATAATCCCGACTAGTGTGTGGGAGCTCATTTGTTTTTGCGGCCGCGGCGGACTGGACCCTCCTCTCTACCACCATCTAATCCCTCATCATCTCCCCAGTGAGAAGTGCTGGAATCCTCCAAATCAATAGCACGAACATGGACTGACCACTTAAATCAACCCCATCTATCTTATCACTGAGGGCCTGTCTCTGACTCGCTCAACCAGGATCTTTGTTCCTCACCTTTTAACTTAAAAATGCTGGTGTTAAAATACAAAAAAGTAGAATTTTTACTCATCTTCAGCTGGCTGTAAAATTGCTTGTGGAGGAGGGGGGGGTGGTGGACTAAAGCGTATCAAAAGACCCTAACCCTTAATGACAGAAAGATCAGCCAGAATCACATTGGTTAAAATCTGTGTTTTAACTATGTTATCTGTGTAGATATTGTAATGTATTTCCACTGGTAACAAGGTGATTTGTCATTTGAATGGGTTAGAAATGGAAAACAAATCTTTTATTTAATCATAATAAAACAAAATGTTGTTTAAATTTTTAATATCTGTTGCAATACACAAAAATGTGCACTTTAAATATGAAACTTACAGAACCTACCTTTTCGGAGTGTTGTGTCTGACGTTTCTGGAGGTTGGGGTTGAGCTGCTGCCATCGTTGCTGATGGAGCCGTTGACGCGGAGCTCTTTGGAGGGCTGTATGACTGACTGCCAAAGTTCTGTATCTTCAGCTTGGCATCACCCTCCAGTCTCTCTAAAGCTACAGTTTGACACTGCTCTACTGTAGACACCAGTAATCTGCAGAACTGACAGCAAGGGGAATCCATGAGTCAGAAGATGATACATGAGCCCAGTATTGGTGTGGCACAGGCAGACTTAGAAGGTAAGCATATGGCACTTTAGATTTCAGGTAGAAATGGGAAGCTGAAAGATAATTTTCACATTTTGTACAGCCGAGCTTTGTTTTGTTTTGTCCTTTATGTACGAGTATTACACCACAAGCCTGCTGGCGTACTCTGTATCTGACTGGCTAAGTCATATATGCCAAATATGCAGTCAAAATAAGACCAGTGGTGCATTCATTGTTCTAGAACAAAGATCAATCTGGAACATCTTTAGCATTAAGAAAATAGGAGTTTAGGACTCGCATTTCCCAGATTTAATTAGCCAGTGTCATATATGTGACAGTGTTGATATTGACATTGGTAAGACAATTATATTTCAACAATATTCAATTCTTAAAAGTTTTATTTTGCATTTATTCAAGACACATTTACCTCTGCGTAGTTCAGTTTCCCATCCTTGTTAATGTCAGCCAGTGTGAAAATGGCATTGACTTCATCAGCTGTCATTTTTTCTCCTCTCTGAAAGATGAATGTATTTTTATTAGTAAAAACATATCAATACATGTGTATTGCATGAGTAAGCATTAGGATAATTTAGGTGTATGTATTATGCTAAAGATCTTGAACAAATGGTCAGAGGTACAGATGGTTGCTACATTGTTTTGGGGGTTCTTCTTCTACTAATGTTTAACATGACTCACAGTGGTGAGGGCACGCTCCAGTTCACTGTGTGTGATGTAGCCATCACCGTTTACATCAAATTTTTTGAAAGCCCTCATCAGCTCAGGTTCATCCGTTTTCTTCTCATGCTGTAGAATCTCACAGAAGTCATCAAAGTTCAGTGTTGACCTCCTGGAGGTCCAGTATTTATCCAGAGTGGCAAGAGATGGGTTCCTTCCTGCTTGCTGGAGAGCTAAACGGGATAAAAGTGGGAAATTGTAACAACAGATGAAGCAAAGGCAGAAGAGAAGGTTTGTTTTCAAACTGTGTGAGTTCAAGTAAACAGGCATAAAACAACAAAAAACTGTAGGTTTTCTTACCGCGGCATAACTGCTGTTTGGAAGTGATGTTTGTCAAACTGGATCTAAAGACAGCGAGATAAGCGGCTCTGCAATGAGTGTAGAACAACTCATCTTCCTCAGAAGAACGAGAAGACTCTTGAGAGGACATGTTTTGACACAGGAGATGGAGGTGGTGATTTCCGTTAGCTGCTTCTCTCCAGGTGGTATACAGCCATGCAGTAGGCGGCTGCTATCGTTGGCTAAACGATGCGGTACCGTCTATTTTGTCACATTATGGGGAAAAAGAAGCACGTAAGGCACAGATTATCATTATTAAAGTGTATGACGTTGGTGTCATTTACGCAACACCGTTGCTATGGGCTGACCGTAAACAAATCTCATCGGTGCTCAGCGAAAAACGGCACGGAGGAAACAATAACTAACACTTCCGTTAGGTATTTAACGATAAATGCAACGTCTACGAAGTTATTACTTATCACTTTAAACGTATTTAGTTTTTTAAATAATGTATTAAGTTGATTTTAAATAAATTCCCTTTTAGTTATTGTTATATTTTTCAAAAATGGCATTGTGGGGCTGTCGAATGCGACCGTCAGGTTTCACACGAACTCAATACAGTGTAGCAAAGGCGCCAAATTCAGCCATTTAAAGCCAACTTTTATCACAAACATTTTTCTTTCTGGAGAGAATTACGTAAGTATTTATTGCCGTGTTCTTTTGTTATGAAAAGTGTATTGTTGAGTTTATGTTCCACACATTTTGCACGCAATGTTACAATCAAGCTAAGTGCAGCGTATGGTGGGAGTCATTTTCAATACCGGCTACATGACAGCTACTTAATGTTGTGTAAAACGTTACTTCATATTGCATTTAATATGTTGATTTGTATTGTTACTAACGCTTTTCCTAAAAAAAAACTCGACTCACGTGATGTGTCTTTGAGTTTGCATTGTTCCTTCCATATCTTAAAGCTCTACATAAATAATTGAACTGTGATGTTTTTTGTGAAGTCTGCTTTTGTTGTGTTAATAAACGCATTGAAATCTGTCTCCTTTCGTGTCCTTTTTATGCCAATGTGCAGTATGTTGACAACATGCGAGCATGACTGAATTGAAATGTGATTTTAAGTTGTTGTTTTTTTTAATCTATGAATTGAGGGCCCTGTTTAACACTGACTTTTATATTCTGTGGCTGTTTTTGCTGTTTTTCTTAGTCCTATCTCACATTATCATACTTTGGTGTGTGTATTCCTTTTTAACAAATATTTGTGTGGGTATATGTTTCTGCCTAATTCAAGCACTCTAAACATAATGTGATATAGATGTGTTGCTTAAATGCTTCTCACATTAGAAAAATATAGACTGTCCAAATTCATGGACAAAACCTGCTGTTAATTATATTTTTTCTATTTTTTTTTTTTTTTTTTTTTTGCAGTGCAAAGGACGCTCTAGATATGGACAAAGTTGGTCATGTAAGTCTTTATTTACATAGTTCATTGTTGACCATTAACTAAATTCTGCATTTATTAAAGCAACTATTATATATTTAAATCTAAAGGCAAGGCAAACCAAGAATGTCCTCACTATCTTAGGGTAGAGTTGGCTTTTACATTAACCATGCTGAATCCATGTGGTTGTCAGATTAAATTAAGTTGCACACATTGACATTAGAGTTTAGTTTTTTTTTTTTCAAGGAAACACAATCCCAGTCATTGTATTCAATTATCTTGTTTTACTTTGTGTTTTTAAATATTTGTATAACTTTTCTATTTGTTAATTGACCTAAATAGCAACCACGTTCCAGAATTCCTGTCCCCGCACGAAGTGAAACTCAAACTGTAGCTGCAGATTCTACAGCAGGTACGTTACACACCTGCACATTTGTTTCTTCATTCCAATACATGAGTTATGTTTTTCTTTGCTTAATGTTGTAATATGTTTCTTTTTGAACAGTTTAAATGTTTCTGTAGAGTTTAGTATGTGGGTTGTTTTTTTGTTTTGTTTTTTCAAACTGTTAATTACACCAGACACAATTCTATTCTGTTTTGATAAAATGTGCAGCCACAACAGCAAAGCCCAAAATCATTACAAAAGAACAGGAAGTCCCACTGCCAGAGTTGGAAAAGTGAGTACTTCTGCATCTTCTGTTTATTTTTTTTTGTTATTTTTATTTTATTTTTTGATATTTTTTGTTAATTATTGTTCTATCACAAACAGGAGTTGGTGTTTATTTCCTGCTGTATTACACAGAATTCCTCACTGAATAACTATATATCAACTGCCATGCTTTACTGATGGTCGTAATGAAATATCAGACTTTAATGACAGGAGACATGAAATGACTGAGATCCATCACTGGCCAAATTATCAGTGATTTACATAGCACTAAAAATAGTTGTATAAGAGTCACTTAACACAAGAACCATTTCCTTTAGCTCGGGCAGACATTTGGTGTCTGTCCCATCCATCAAGGGGTGTTAGTTTTTAATTTTATAGTGCTGGTACTAAGACATCCACTGGCTTAGTTTACAGTACATTCATAACACTTGATTATGTCTCATTGGGGTCACTGAGGACTAAGCAATTTTTACTGATATATTGGAGAGCTCTGTAATTTTGGCTATGAGGATTTGAGACCTAGAAGTGTAGCTACTGCCAATTAATTATTTGGGCTTCATATAAAAAATGGGCCACATAGTAAAAGATATGAAAAGGGATAAAGTTGATGAAGCTTAATTTGTATCATTGACGTGTATGCAATTGACAGCTGGACAATGCAGTGGTGGCCACAAGGTTGAGAAGTACACTGATGTACAAGCCTCTCTAACATTGAATAAGTTGGGTTTAATTGTTGTTGTTTTTTTTTTAGTTGAATCATAAATTACCTATAATGTCATCATATATTTAAAATCACCAGTGTTCAGATTTACTGTAGCTCAGTTTTCATGAACAAGAGACGCATCAAAATGTTGTAGTGTAACACCTCATCCTACTGGAGGTTTCTCTCTGTAATTATAAGAGCAATCAGAAAGGAAGAATGCTGTACTTCAGCAGAGAAAAGGCCAGGAATCACTTTCCACCATTGAGTGTTCATTCAGTTATTATAATTAAAAGCACTGTATTTTCCCCCCACAAATATATTCTGCTAATTTATATCTGTTAGTCTGTAGTGGTTTTTTTTTTCTTTTAAAGGTGTGTCATGATTTAAAAGTATACAAGGAATGTTTGTGTGTCTGTGTGTGATGCGATACACTCCTTTGTCTTGTGCTTCCAGTCTCGACTCCATTCGATCCCAAGTGGAAAAATCTCTGGATGCCTTCATCAGGGACAGAAAGAAGCTGCAGGAAATACTAGTGAGAGACATTTACCTTTGGGAATTTTAAGTTTAAATGATATTGTTCTTGATTTGTTCATCTTTAAAGCAGTAAGCGTTTGTGTTTCACAATGTGTGGCTACATTTACTACATAATTCTGTTTTATTCAGCCAGTAGAGGGCAGCAGTGAACAGGAGCGCTGCACCACTGAATCCAGTGTTGACCTGAAGGCTGAGTTAAAGAGACACAGAGAGCTGAGTAAGTATTCAAAGTGACTCATTGGTTTAAAAAATGGTTGTAAGAATATCTTTTTTGATAATCTGTATTTTCCATGTGACCAATCTGGCTTTAAAACGAGAAATTAAAATATGTTTATATTGTATTCTTGTTTTTTTTTTCCTCTTCACCACATTGTTGTAGAATAATGTACTGAACTAATGACTGCATTTAATTGCTTTTTCTTTTTCTTTTTTCTTCTCTCTCCCAGCATCCAAGGTTGGAGCATCTTTGAAGGCAAATGGAATCTCCAACACCCACAGTGAAGGTAATGTGTTTGGTAATAAGCAATAAAATGAGACACAGTAAGAGTAAACAATCTTTATTGTTATGTGCTCGTGTTCTTCATTCATTATGCTTTTATGCCATCTAAATAAACTCTCCTGGTCTCTTTGCTGGAGTTTTATCCTGTTGAACGCTGCAAGTCTTTATGGCCTCAAGCTCAGGAGACACGAGGGTGGAACAGCATCACAAGATTTATTGAGAATTAAAACCACACATTTGCTTGTTTACTCACATCCGCATTAGGTTATTTTGTGGCGCAGCATAAACATGAAGGACAGGGCAAGATGAATGTGGTGGTGCATAAAAATACACAACAACAAAGAACAAATTATATGGGGTGGTTTCTCTGGCTGGTACTACATTTCTATAGCCTTGTGAGATTACACCAGGGATTCTTAATCTTGGAATTAATCCATTGTGTTAGCTGTATGAGGTGTTTGGCCAGAAAAATCAAAATAAAAGTATTTTAATTCTGCTGCATTTTATCTCTATCAGCTAGAAAATAAAAAATAATTAAATGGCCATTAGTATAAAAGAAATAAGCATTTTTGAATGTGTGTGTGTGTGAATAATTTATTTAATGTAATGGGACTGAATGGAAATAAGCATTTTTGAATGTGTGTGTGAATAATTTGTTTAATGTAATGGGGCTGAATATACAAACCAGTGGTAGTTTGGAACAACTCCAAATGTTTGAGGCCAGTGAAAGTGTACTAGTTCTTGGACCCAATCTGGCCCGGCAACCGGATTCCAAAAGAAACGTCAAATAACAATGTTGCACAAAAATGTGATTTAATTTTGCCTTACACCTAAGGTGTATATTTAGAAAGATTCCTGCCCTCTGACAAATATAGTTGATGCCCAATCTCTTAATATCATCCCTTTATCACAAATGAACTGGTGTTTTCATACAGGCTTCTTGTAGTGTTTTGGCAACATTGTGTTTATGTATTTTAATTAACCTTATCAGTTTTTCTGTTCCATATTTATAATATTGTGTAAATGAACCAGACTTCTCCAGTCAAGACAGAGGGTTGTCACATTTAAACTAGTATTTCTAATGAGTTTGGTCACACTGTTTTTCAATTAAACCATTCACCAAAAAGGTTCATGTCTGACAAATGATTCATAACTCGATCGCCTTAGGTAGGAGTCACTTTTCCAAGATAGTCCCCTGCGTGCTCTGCTGTGACTGGACCTAAAGAGACTAAAGACACATTTCTGTATTTGTTTTGTTTCTAGACGCTAAACTAAAAAAGTCACAAGATTGTTTGATTTACAAGAATAAGGACAATCCTTCACTTTACTTTGTTTGATAAACATCTTTCTTGCTGTTTACCAGTTAACAGCATCAGTTGACGCTTGTTTGAGCTGCTCAGACAATCGTGTGCTCTGCGACCTTTGGAGGGATAACAACATTTTGTTATGGTTGCACAAACAAGTCAATGTGCAGATTTTCCTCAGGAAATAATTAATTTGATTATTTTAGGCACAAGTCATGCCTGCAGCAGAG